AGGTGATGGATCGCCCCAGAGGAGGAAGCTAAGTGCTTGCAGACAAAAAGCCCTTTTATCGTCCCCGGCTGGGCCTCCGGCATGACAAGCAGATAACTCAGCCTCGGAGGGAGGGCTCCCCATTAGGCCGGGGATGGATGGAGGGCCAGCGGCAGGCGGAGGAGGAAGGGGACACCCAGCCGGGCAAGGCCACCTTCCCCCCAACTTCAAAGGCACCCAGCACGGCAGGTGTCGCCCAGACGAAACCCTCCACCGTGGGGCCCAGGGCGCGGCCAGGGAAGCAGGCAACCTCCACGGCTGTCCCTGTCCTTCCCTGGTGCCTCCCGGGACCCTACAGGCTGAGGAACGAAGAAGAGAGGCCTCCCCCAAGACGCCCCACGCACCCACGGGACTCGTGCAGCCTCCTACACACCAGCGGGCCCCCTCCACGCAGCCTCGGGGCCTTTGCACGGTGGTCCTCTCTCTCTGAAACACCCTCCAGAGACCTGCACGTTCCCTTCCTCTGCTCCCGCAGATCTTTGCTTAAATGCCGCCTCCTCAGGGAAGCCCACCCTGACTACCCCCGTTTGAAACCACAACCCACACTCCTCAAGCCCTTCAGCTGGTTCCTCACCGCGGCGCCTCCCACCAAGGACGCCCTACGCGTTCTGTTTACTGTCTGCCTGCCCGGCGAGGATGGGTACTTGTCCGTCTTACGGCACCCAGAACAGGGCCTGGCACACAGCAGGCGCTTTAGAAATAATCCTGCGATGAATGACTGTTTCGGGAGAGGCCTGAAATCTCCTGGTGCGGCTCAGGGCAGCCGCCAGTGGCTATTTACGCTGAAATCAGCTGCCCAGCTGCTGTGGCTCAGTGGTTTGAGCATCAGCCTATGAACCAGGTCACAGTTCATTCCCGGTCAGGGCACGCGTGTGGGTTGTGGGCTCCATCCCCAGTGCGGGGCGTGCAGGAGGCAGCTGATCCATGATTCCCTCTCATCATTGATTTTTCTATTTCTCGCTCCCTCTCCCTTCCTCTCTGACATCAATAAAAATATATTTAATAAAATTAAATGAGGGTGGCAGCCCACCTGGGGGGGGGGGTCGCAAAGAAAAGCCCTAACAGCTCGCTGAGCACCTACTGTGTGCCAGCTCCGGTCTGTATGAGCTCATGTCGCCAGCACGGCAGCCCTGGGAGGGGTGCTGCTACTCCCCCAGTTCACAGAGGGGGAAACCGAGGCACAGAGATGGAGTGACGTGCCCTGGGCTCCCCGCGTGAGAGCGGCAGTGCCAGGCCTGGACCCAGGATGCCTCCCCTCACGCTGGACACAGTGACCACGGGGGCAGCACCGGCCGCCCCGACAAGTCTGCAGCCCAGCCCACCCTCAGAGCACAGAACCCCGATGCGGAGAAAACCTCGTCCCCCACCTATGACCCCCTCGTCTCAGGCCTCCTCTGAAAACCCCTGCACTAGGCCAGGAAATACCCCTCCCCGGGGGGCCCCACCACCTTCTCCTGCCGTTCCCCACCCCGGGCAAGCCCACGGGGCGCGCCGAGCCCCCCACCATGTCCGCCAGGTGGAATCCGGCTCCCCAGCGACTCCCGACCGCCCCCCACCTTGAGCCCGCCGAGCCGACGAGGGGTGGGGACAGACGTGGACCTACCACACTCGGCCGCCAGCAACGCTGTGTCCTCAGACTCCGGGGAACCTGCGGGGGAAACAGGGGCGTCGTCAGTAAAGCTCGATCCTCCGTGCGGGCGCTCCGACAGGACAGGGACGGGATGGCGAGGCCCCCGGGCCGGGCACGCGGTGCACACCAGGCCCAGCACGTCTCCACGACATCCCGAGACGCAGGCTCTGCACACCCTGGAGCCCAGGCGGTCAGTCCCGTGCCCCCAGACCCAGAGCTGGGATCACAGAAACCCCCCTGAGAGAGGGGGGCCTCCTGCCCCCAGCCAAGCCTCCTGAGTCTCCACTCACAGCCAGCACCCCGTGGTGACAGCGAGCGTCAGACACAAAACGCCGCCCGCGGGTCAGTAAGCGCCGGTCGAGCCAACAGAAATACGGGGGGACTCACTCCCCGTCAGCCGCTGGCCAAAGAGCTCAGGGGAAGGTGCCAGCGTCATTGATTATCAGGAAAGTGCCAATCGGAACCGCAGGAGACCCCGCGTGGATGTGGTGCTGAAATGAGAGACAGACACAGCGAGTGGTGCGAGGACACGGACCACCGGAGACCACGCGCTGGTTGGATACCAAGCGAGGAGGCCACGCCGGTTGGGTGGTCACGTGACCCAGCAATTCCACTCCTGGGTGTTTACCCGGGAAACACGGAGACCTGTGTCCACACCCACACACATGCGCACAGGACTGCGCACGACGGCCTCACTGGTTGTCCAACAAAAGCAGGGAACCAGCCCCCGATCCAACGACCCATCCGTAGACGGGGGACACACACACGGTGGCACAGCCACACCCAGAACCTGCCACGGTGACGAGGGACCAACTGCAGAGACACGAGACCCCCAGAGGAAGGTCAGACTCGGGCTGAGCACGGGGCCAGACACCGCGCTACACACGCCGGGGTTCCGTGTCCCTGGCTCTGGGAAGGGCAGACCCGGGCTGAGCACGGGGGCCGGACTCCGTGTTACACACGCCAGGGTTCCGTGTCCGTGGCTCTGGGAAGGGCAGACCCGGGCTGCCCCGCACGGAGGCGTCAGAGGGAGAGCGAGCAGGCGATTCGCACAGAAGTCAGGGCGCTGACCACTCTGGGGAGGAGGCAGCAGGTGGCCACTTGGTGTCACCTTTAAAATGACTCATTAATCTGTGCCCGGGTTTATGCATTCTTTTTTTTTTTTTTTTTTTTCAGAGAGGAAGGGAGAGGGAGAGAGAGAGAAACATCAATGACGAGAGAGAGAGAATCATGGACCAGCTGCCTCCTGCACGTGCCCCACTGGGGATGGAGCCCGCAACCCGGGCCTGTGCCCTGACCAGGAATCGAATCGTGACGCTCGACCACTGAGCCACACCGGCCGGGCGGCTTAGGCATTCTTTACGGTGGCAGCTCCTGCACAGAGAGAACGAGCCAACACACCGCCGTGGGCAGAGCGCCGGGCGGAGTCCG